TCAGGCCACATCTCGGAGCAGTTGGAGGAAGATATCAGCACGTTTCCGCATATGGAAGTGGCGCACTTGCACTTTCTCCTGCAGGTGGCCACCACATCCCATGCCGAGCTGGCGGACACCGAGGTTGCCGCGGCCAAGACAAAATTGCTCGGACTGATCGCAGAACATCACATGGCGCCATTTTACGAACGCGTTTCAGCCGAGTTTCGCTGGCCCGTGGACACTGCGCTGCTCTCGACGATGAAGTACACGCAGACTCGGTTTGGTTCTTCTCTCATGTCCCTCATGTATATACCTGTAGAAAGCACAACGAAGACGAGTTGGCGAAATTGGACGCGCAATTGACTGATGCGGAAGCCAACTTGGGTGACATTGAAGTGTTGGAAGCGCATCTCGGTCGCGCCCGGCTGTATTCGTTGATCGGGGACAAGGAAAAGGTGTTGGAAGCACTGCACACCGCGCTCGCCAAACCAACCTCCGTGAACCAGAAGATCATCATCCAGCTCCACATCATTCGCGTCGGTCTGTTCTTCTCTGACCTTCCGCTCGTGGAAACCCACATCAAGAAAGCGCGAGCTCTCATCGACGAAGGCGGCGACTGGGACCGACGGAACCGCCTCAAGGTGTACGAAGGGTGCTACCTCCTCATGGCGCGTGACTTCAAGAAGGCCTCCATTTTGTTCCAGGTGAAATACCGCTTTTGATTCCTCATGCCTTGCTGCTCCAGCTTACTTGACCCGTCAAGTTGACATGGAGGCATCTTACGGTGGAATCTTGCATATTTCTAGGACTCGGTGGCGACATTTACAAGCACGGAGCTCATGTCGTACCAGACAATGATCTTTTACGCCGTCATCACATCGGTGTTGACGACCTCGCGCGTTGATTTGAAAAAGCGGGTAAGTGGACGAGCGAGCGTCGTTCTCGACACAAACGAAGCAGCACCGTTGACATGGCTTTGCCCAGATCGTCGATTCGTCAGAAGTGCTGGCGGTGCTGCGCGACATCCCGCACCTGAGCAACTTTTTAAATGGCTTGTACGATTGCAATTACAAGCAATTCTTCACGGCTATCGGTGCGTGGTCCAAGGCAAAACGAAATTGCACTCATGGATGGTTTCGTAGTTGGTTTGCACGCGTATGTGAACCGCGACAAGTACTTGGCGCTGCATTCGCGGTACATTTACCGGGAACTGCGCATCTTGGCGTATGGGCAATTCCTCGAGGCCTACCGCAGGTGCATTCCTATCCACGATCGTCATGAAGGATGCTCACGGGAGGATTTGTGCGCATAGCGTCACTTTGCAGTCTATGGCCACGGCGTTTGGCGTTGGGGTGTCGTTTTTGGATACCGAGTTGAGTCGGTTTATTGCGGCCGGTCGATTGAATGCGAAGATCGACAAGGTGCACATGACGCTTCGAACAATGTGACCAACGTGTCTGTGATGGTTTTAGGTGGCTGGTGTGATCGAAACAAACCGTCCCGATGCCAAGAACGCCCAGTACCAAGACACGGTCAAGCATGGCGACGCTTTGCTCAACCGCATTCAAAAACTGGCGCGTGTCATCAACGTTTAGGTGCGGGCCTCCGTGAAACAAAGCGCGAGAAGCGTCTCCATCCAGTTGAAAGCATGCAAAGGCATGGCGGTTTAATTCAGCAGACGTTTCGAGTGCTCGGCCTCGTGTATCGTTCAAAATCTTCATCGAGACATGGAGGAGGATGCATTTCTCATGGGCTTGCCGTCGTGGAAGTTGCCGTCCACCATACCAAATGGTACACGATGTGTTTTTTCTCGATTGGACGTTTTCAGGTGAGAGTACGACGGAGTTCCTCTGTGCACGCTGTATTTGGTGAGAGAGCAGCCCATCGGTCACCGAGGAACGCTCTGGTCGCGGCGACACCCCCCCACTGCGCATCGTTTTGGTAATGTCGTGGCTATCCCATGACTCCTCGCGTCTCGACATGAGGAGTTTGCCAAGGTGATTGACCACATTCACCCAGCAAAACGTCCTCAATGTAAGATGTTTTGCCAATTTGAAGTGAATTTTCAACAATTCACATCAAATTGATGATGTCCAATCAGGATATTCTACGACATGGAAAGAGGCAATGGGGCACTCAGTCCTCAGCACTTCTCCCGACCCAACCACATTCCCAAATAGACATGAAAACTTGCATACCTGACCGATTACCTCCTACAATGAACCGGGGAAAAACTCGACAGGGTTTCAATGTCACATGCTGTATAAATCACTGAGCAATTTTATTGCAAAAATTTGAGATGTTGACACTTGATTGGATAAAATTCAGCATTATGCAACACCTAGAGATACAAGGGGATACGAGGGGATACAGAGGGGATACGAGGGGATACAGCACAAAAAGACTATATTACAACAATTTCAGGACGTGGAAGTGCTTTCACGAAGGCTTTCTGAATGCATTCAGGTGTAATCCGTTCCCACGCAGCAATTGAACGCTTTATCATCGCCATGCGCTTGTCAGCAGCTGAAACAACAGGTCTCTCGTCTAGCCAGAGCATACGCATAATACGTTTAAACGCACCCATGACACCAACATCAAGGGGTTGGCAAACACTTGTGCAGTTGGGCGGAAGCGGCTCGAGAACACTAAAAAAATCCTCCGCAACTGTCTTGCACGACTCCGACGTAACATGAGCGTCAAAATTGTCGACCAAAATCACACTTGGCCCAGTGATGTATGGTGGCAACATGTCAAGAAACGAGCGCCAAACGCTTCCATCCATCCATCCATCCCTTTTCTTGTACCGCATAAAAATGGCCGTCGGGATATGTCTTGAGTTCTTGCATGTCAATAGTGCCACCAGGCACGCCGTGCACAATAAAGACTATTGGCAATTTATCTCCTAAATGAAACTGTGAGATGCAGTGACACAATTTTCGAACCGTTGGCTTGGCATGTCAATACGGCTGTGATCCGGTCCGAATGCTTTTGTGACACGTCCACTTTGGCTGACTTGCCGACTTTTGTCCATATCTTGCCTGCAGGCATGTCGTAGTAAACCGCAGTTTCGTCGGCGTTGATGATGTCGGACAAATTTTTTTCGAGGTATTTCCCCCAAAAGGTTGCCGCAAACTCGTCCCGAATCAATCCCATCTCGATTGCCGGAAGTTTTGTGTGGCATGGCACGCGTTGCGAAAAACGATGCCGCTGTGCAAAGCCTTGACAAAGGCGAAGTATAGACTTGTATGGGTCTGGTTTGTCTTCAATGTACATCTTGATCCAGTCGGGGTAGTGTGTCTTCATGAACGTTATCATATGCATACTTGTAAGGATGTGCTCCTCGCGTCTTACGTCCTTCATGAACGTAAGAAGGTCGTGGTGGAATGGGATGATGCATTTGGCTCCTTGGCCCCCAAGTGTCGTCAGTTTCTTGTTCCGTTTAGTGGCCGTAAGTTCCGCGCGCTGGTGTTGCCACGTGATCCAAGTGCTTCGTGGGATTCCATTCAGCGCGCAGAACTTACGGCTACTCACGTTGCTTGACTTGAACGTGGCCAAGAGCTCCCGCTTTTGTCCGATTGTGTAGGACTGTTGTCGCCGCTGCTTCGGCATCCAAATGTTGAAGTGGAATGCCTTTCTGTTTGTCGGGTTTGAAATTTCAAACATGTTGCAAGGTGCACATGATTGGCTT